GCCTCTGTTTTCTAACTTGCCCTGTGTTCTAACTTGCCCTGTGTTCTGAAATTAGTTCTGGGATCGACTACTCTTATTGACAAAAACACAAATGCATTGAGAGGTAGTATAGTTGTTGTTCAATAACTGAGCTAATAACACAAATGCATGGCTGCAAAATACACAACACAAAGTCATGGTTGAAAAATACATAACACAAATGCATTGAGAGGTAATCAAAAACCATTGTCTTGCATGGTTCAAAAATACATAGTCTTGCTAACACAAAGGCATGGTTCAAAAATACATTACACGAGTGTTCAAAATAAACTAAAGAGTAGCTTGTTGAAGACCATTTTAACATGGGCCAAAATCATAACAACTTTCCAAATGAACTACTTCCAATTGTTCCTGTTTGCTTTCATTTGTTGCAACTGTGAGGTGCCGACTGCATCTTTCCCTTTCATTTTAGGCCACAAGGTTTAAAGCCAATGTCTATATTGGTTGGTGAATCACTCTTCAATTTTGTTGGCCCATGTAGAATCTTCTCACTTGATGTATCAGGCTGTAATATAATAAAGAAAGCGTAAGATAAGATAAGGTAAGATCATAATATGGCTATCAGAATATACACCAAAACAGAGTAAACATACATTAAATACTTGGGCTCCAGTTGTAGGATCAGAGTAAACAGCAAAACTAGTTGCAGGCCTTCTGTTTGCTCCAGTAGCAGCAGCAAATAAGGCAGAACTGTATGGTCTCTTGTGACATGATAAAGGTGGCAGTTGACTAGAAGCACTATCTGTTTCAGTAACAAATGGGGTCCCTCTTGCATTAGCTTTTTTTCTCCAATCTTCTTTCAGTCCCAACTTGAACCCTATTTTGAGGAGGTCTTGGCACAGATGTTGTGATTGAACACTGCCTCATGGACTTATTTATGCCCCCACTGAAAATAGTTTGGAGGATGAAAATTCCAATTGTAAGCACAGTAAAAAAAGAGAGGAAAAGTTCAGGACGCATACACGACATGTTTTGATGTTTATGTTCAATGTTTCGATGCAAGTTGCAGCACCAATAAGATCAGTTATGCTGTTCACGTTAAAATAATCTAAAAACAGATCGAGTGTGAGATGAGTCCATTTTAAGTCCAGATCTGGCAATTCTTTAAACTGTTGAAGCATGCATGGGGCCTGCATGCAATGAACTCTGATTATATAGTCAATAAAAATGCATAACAAACACACAACTGTCCTATTCTTCCTATCAAAGAATGACCATATTCTTCCTAAAAGAATATACTACTTATGAGTTAATTACAAACCTCAAAGAACCATGCCCCCATTGTGATTTCCTTTGCCACTCTGAGTTTTCCAATATTCTGTTGGATCAAAGTGATAAAAGTTTCATGATACTTGTGACAATCGGGGATTTTAAATCTCAGTTCAAGACCACAAACAACTGTGAAGGTGAGCTTGGCAGTGGCCAAAGCAGACACATCCAGTAGTCTACATTGAAGATCACGTAAATTCCCTGCAATATTCAAATACACCAGATACAGAGCATTTATTTCCAAATTACCAGTATCATTTTGCGGATCTTTTAAGATCAAACTCTTCAATTTCTTAGAATCGATAAGCAGCGAATTTAAACCGTTGACACTATAGAATTTCATAGATTCTAACACAGGACAGCCTAATAATAGGGATGAAATACTAAGATCGTCTAGCGGTACAAAACCAAGATGGATTATCTTCAGAAATTGTCAGTTCCATGGCGGAATTGCATCTCAAAAAAACAACCCTCTCATATGCAATTTTATCAGGGTAGAACAATTGAAATTTTTTCCAAGTATTTCACATATTCTTGCACTACTGTCGGATATACATACCAACTCATCTACTCTCTTTTGTATGGCGAAATTCATCCAATCCTTAATATGAGAGTCATACCTGAAAATTTCTCCGCCTTCGATAGCAACTGTAATGATTTTCAGAGATAGGGCACGACTCACAACATTATCCACGAACAATACATAATTCTCGATCGATGTGAATAACTTTTTCTCCGTGAAAGTGAATTTATTTAGTAAAGTTCATAGCGAAAGCCACTTCTTTGACAGAACGCACGTTCTGACTGCGTCTTTTATACACACACATGAGTGAGATTATTTTGTGCCGAACTTCATCCGGAAATTCGGTGATGAAATCCAGAATGTCGACGATCGATTTCTTTCTCGGGCCGTCATCTTTGATTTTGTCTGACGACATATTTCGGTTCCGATCACCGTCACGATCTCGTCGGCGTAGTTTTTGGTTAATCGGAAAGCAAATGGGTTAATCCAAAAACAAAGGTCAAAGTCATCTCCGGTCCGTCAAAGTTGTCCTCATTATTAATTTATACACCTCAACTACACCTAGTACCTATTGAACACCTCTACCACCCCAGATTTAAACCGTTTATGCATTTTTTGCCTACATGGCAAATCGTTTGTGATTCACGCAAATGAGGCGCGTGAATTGTTTTTTCTCCCATTTTTTACCCTGCATTTAAGACATCCAACGTTAAAATTTTAACTTGGATATACAATCCCCAATTCTTCTTCCCCCAAATCCAGTTTATAACCCTAAATCCCCAATTCTCTCTTCTTTCTCTAAATATCCAACGTTTCTCTCTTCTAAATCAAGCCATTTTCATTTATCAAATGTCGCAAAGTTTAGTGAATATCAAGGATGTCGATGTATGTAAGTGTGGTTATTATTGTCGACTGAAAACTTCGAGGACTCCATTGAACCTAGGTCGTCGATTTTTTTGGATGCAAAGCATCAAATGTTTGTAATTATTCGAAACAAAAACTACTGTTATTGTATTATTTGAAAAATCAACATTTTTTGTATATTTATTACTGTTATGTGGTTTGTAGGAAAATGGTGGATGTGACTATTTTAGATGGATTGGTCCATCACTTGAAAATGCTGATGAATCATCCTTAATGAATAGATTCATAGATGGTCAAAATTCAATTGATCGACTAAAGAGAAAAGTGAAAGAGCTTGAAGAAGAAAGGGATTCTTTGAAATTTCAATTGAATGAAAATGAAGAGAAAATAATGGTATTGAACAAAAAGCACAAGGAAGTTAAACTCCAAAGGGATTGAGAAAATGTCAAATTTAACCGAGTTGTGATTGTTTTCTTTGTTTGCTAACTATAAAATGGTTCTTTAATATTGTGTAGTTCATAGTAGTTCAAGATTGTAGTACTTAATTGTTTAGTTTTGCAGTAGTTAGGAGGCTATTCTAGATCAATTAATGTTGTACTTAGTTGGTATGTTAAGTTCATATTTTGTATCTAATTGGAAGCTTGAATGTGAATTGATCAGTGTCGAATTGATCAGTGTCGAACTTTGTAACTTACAATGTGAATTGATCAATGTCTCTTTTGTAACTTGCCTCTGTTTTCTAACATGCCCTGTGTTACGAAATTAGTTCTGGGATCGACTACTCTTATTGACAAAAATAAAAATGCATTGAGAGGTAGTGTAGTTGTTGTTCAAAAACTGAGCTAATAACACAAATGCATGGCTGTAAAATACATAACACAAAATCATGGTTGAAAAATACATAACACAAATGCATTGAGAGGTAATCAAAAACCATTGTCTTGCATGGTTCAAAAAT